CGGCCATCGGAGCTGCGGTGGTGGAAGGTCAAAACAAGTTTCAGGTGCAGAATCTACATTAATCTGGATAAGATAAAAATGATTCACAGCCTTAATTCATAACACTTTAGTTGATTTCTGCAGCTGAGGACGATTGAAGCGTTACTGGGAAGCACAGCTAAACTGGGAGAGGTGATCGTACTGGGAATGATCACACAGCTGAAAGAGGTGAGCTGCAGGAGTCTAAACTTTCTGACGTCTTCCTCCTTCTACACGGGATTAAAAACATTGAGGAACATCTAAAATCATCTGTGTTCCTTTTAAAGGGTAAATTTTACCTGGAGGACCCGAGTGGGACAGTACAGCTGGACATGTCCAAAGCAATATCCTTTGATCAGTTTCAGTTTGCATACAGATTTAATGTTTTTCACGGCATCAGGTGGATTTTTTCCTTAGCTGCTGTTTCACCAGTTTTATAATGGTCTGTACACAGAGTCCTGCTTTGTGCTGGCAGAAGGTAAGATTCATATCTAGGTTTATAAAATAAACCTGGATAGAAAACGTATTGAAAGATGCTGCATAAGCATGGTGGTGGCAGCATCATGCTGAGGGGATGGATATTTTATGAGGAAGAAGTTTTTCAGGTCTATCTGGTTCCCAACGGGACAAAGCTTGCTCTCAAACTGGTTCTGGAAGGATGAAATCAGCTAACATAAAGTTTGGAATAATGTATGGATTCTATAAGAAAACCAAACATTCAGCCAGAATTATCCCTGACATGTGATTGTGAGGACAGTTAGCTAAAGGTTAACTGCACTAACCCTCCAGTGGAAATCCTCAACATTAGTGAACACAGAACTGAGCAGAAGCTAAATGCTAAAGCACTGTAGCAACATGGTAACTCATGGAAGTGTTTAGAAACCTCTACTGGAATTTCATCTGGCACTATGAATATATTTCATGTCTATTTTTGGAAAGGAAAGAAAAATGTTAGGATTGTTACTGTGCAGCATTGAGGAATCGTCTCGTCTGTGTTTCAGGTTGGTACGAAGACTCGGTCTTCCACGTTAACGGCTTTGGATTCCCACCAACAGAGTCTTCGTCTTCTACAAGGTCGGTGCAGCTGGACGTTTAAAGTTTTCTAGAGTGTTCGTCTCAGAGTCTTCATCTCGGAGTTTGCTGATGTTTGCTCTAAATTCAGGGCGTACTACGGCAACATAAACTTCTTCGGCGGTCCGTCCGCCACCTCAGTTAAAGCTTCATCCAAGCTGAAGCAGTTGGAGGAGGAGAACGAAGACGCCATGTTTGTGATGGTCTCTGACGTCTGGCTGGACAGCGTGGAAGTGATGGAGAAGCTCAGCATCATGTTCTCAGGTCTGATTCTGCAACTTCTCACTTTCACCACAGAATGATCTCCGCCTCATCGCCTGGCTCTTTCTCTAACAGGATACGCTGCTCTGCCTCCAACCTGCTTCATCTTTTGTGGAAACTTTTCTTCTGCTCCTTATGGAAAAACTCAGATTAAATCCCTCAGAGGTAAGGGCTGATAGTTTGTGGAGCACAGCAGCAGAAATATATTCCAATAATATGCTAACAGATTTTAGGGATAGATTAAGAAAAAATCATTTCAAGAAAGAATTCAGAATATTACAAGCATAAAGACGTAACATTAGGAGAAAAAAGTCTCAACATGATAATAATTTCCGTAATTAAACCAGAATAGTTGTAATATTTTGAGAATAAAGTCGAAATTTAAAGGCAAAGTTGTAATAAAATCAGCATTGTCACAATATTATAAAAGTAAAGTTTTAATATTATGAGAAAGTCGCAATATTCATAATTTGTAATATTAGGATAATAATGTTGTAAAATTACCAGAATAGAGTTGTAATAATAAGACTATACTTGAAATAAAATAATAATAATAATCTTAGTCTGGACTTTTTAACGTTCTAAAATTTGACAAAAATTTAAGTTTATGGAAGAAATGGAATCTATTAATAGTTCAGTTAATAGATTCAGAAGCATCTATTATTTGGTTTTGACATGTTTTTCTTGCAATGTGTTTCTGTAGAATCATTGAAGACCCTGGCTGATGTCATCTGTTCGTATCCCAGCATTCATAGCAGGTGGGGCCTCCAGCTCACAGGTCAGCCTGGGTCATGCGTCTGAATCACGGGGTTAATGTTAAATGTTGTTCTGAACCTGCAGCAGTCGTTTTGTGTTTGTTCCTGGCCCGGAGGACCCCGGCCCTGGCACCATCCTGCCCAGGTACGCCTCCGGTCTGATCACCTGTGTTCCTCTGAGCAGGAAGCTGCTGACCTGAACGTGTTTCCCTCAGGCCGCCGCTGGCAGATCACATCACACAGGACTTCCAGCAGAGGGTGCCTGGCTCCGTGTTTACAACCAACCCATGCAGGTGAACCTACAGGACAAACCTCACCTGGAGGGTCTGTGGTTGTTTTGCATGGAGTGACTGTAAACATGTGATCTGGTCAGGATTCAGTACTGCAGCCAAGAGATCGTCATCATGAGAGAAGATCTGGTCAACAAGATGTGCAGGAACTGCGTCCGGCTGCCCAACAGTAACCTCGACATCCCAAATCATGTGAGTTTATTGAGGCATCAGAGGCAAATACATATTCATACCACTCTAACATGAAACCAACATAATGGTGAATAAATCACAAATGCTGCATGGGTTTTCATATATTTTTATAAAAACTGAATAAAACTGTTTTTCAGATGTAATTCAGACAAAGACACTAATGGTAGATTTCCATAAATAATGTAGTAAGTATGGCGGGCCAGTAGGTGGCGTTGTAACATTGCCAAAGCATGAAAAAGCACCATGGCGAAACATGTTTGTTACTTGTGAGAGTGACGCATATAAAAATGTTTGTTTTGAAGTTTTTCCAGTCTGAGACCCATTTTAAAACTTGATCGTTTTGGTGCTGAAATGATTGATCAGATAGTAATTGATGAATTGTTAACTGGAGCAAACAGACTCATAAAAGGCTGTTTACTATTCAAGCGAAGTCCTCTGTGTGGATGACGCCCTGTACGACAGAAAGCTTAAAGTCGTCTCCGGGTGACGGGACTTCAGAGCTGGAGCTTCTGCTGAAGGAACTTCTACCGAGTCATACAAATATACTCCACACTTTTCAGATTTTACCCATTAAAACCATGAATAATTTACCTTCTGCTACTTTATGTTGTTCTGTCACTCAACTTTATAAATGAAAAGTTAAGGTGTTGCTGAAGAAGCTCCTCCATGTTGGATCCATTTCCGTTGAAACATGCTCTTCCTCCTCTTCCTCCTCTTCCTCTCCAGTTTGTGAAGACCATCCTGTCCCAGGGACACCTGACTCCTCTTCCTCTCTACGTCAGTCCGGTTTTCTGGGCCTACGACTACTCCCTGCGGGTCTACCCCGTGCCCGACGTCATCGTGTTCGCAGACAAGTACGACCCGTTCTCCATCTCCAGCGCCGACTGCCTGTGTCTCAACCCGGTACCAAACGACTGAAACGACAAGTTTGCCTCTTTTCTTTAAAACATGTTTTAATTTTCCTCGATTTTCCTCCAGGGCTCGTTTCCTAGAAGCGGTTTCACGTTCAAGGTGTACTACCCGTCCAACAGAACCGTTGAAGACAGGTGGGACACGTTGTAGTTTTGGACTTTTCTCCTGACTGCTGATGGTTTCAGACTCATGTTCATAATTTTATACTTTTGTCTTCACAGCAAACTTCAAGGACTTTAAGGAAAATCCTGAACCTGCCTGTTTCCAAGCCTTTGCATGTTCCATTTGTAAAATATTAATGCATTTTGAATTTGGCTAGGAATCAAATACCTGATTTTTATGTTTGTTGTGTCTAAATAAAAGTTTTATTTACATAACTTAAAAAGATCAGAATCCTTTTTATTCTAACTCTCGTTTGTATGAGAAGTTTATTACATATTGTTTAAGCAACAAGGTTCAAGAAAATCATATTTAATCTACCAGTAATTAATTCTTTCTCACTTGTGAGAAATTTCTATTGTGAAATGAAAGAGAGCCAGGAGATTCAGTTAAAGTAAAATTTCATCAGTCAAATTAATGACAAGTTATCAGGGACAATATGTAGGTCAACATAAGCCGTGTCTTATTTACTAAATATATTTAATAATTTAGGAAAGCAAACAAAACTGGAACTTTTGAATAATAAATGTCTGAGCTTATTAAAAACATTTACTTTTGTCCTCGTCTCTGAGAATAATGAAAGTTGTCCAAGCCTAATTTTTAATGACTAATATTCAGCTGTAATTTTGAGAAAAAAAGTTTAGTGGAAGGAAAAAAAACATGACTTTCAAAGCTGGAAACACCCAGAATATAATTTCCCAGCACCAGAAAAGCACCTTCCTGTTGCTCCCTGTGAGCCGGTCAGACCTGGTCTCTCCTGCTCCTCATCGTCACGTTTCTCTGATTCTTTAAATTCTTCTTGGTATTTGGTAAAATTGCTTTTTAAAGTGTCTTAAACGTTTTTGGGTATCCTTATAGAAAGTTTTCATAATAATTTGGAATTTTGTCCCATTCTACCTGACAGAACAAACTGAGGTTTGTTGGTCTGTTTTGTGAAATTATACATTGACGGCATTAAATTATGCTTCAAACCAAACGTTTATGAGTTATTGTCGAGAAACTAATACAGAAATAAAATGAACACAGAAAAACAATAAAGTCAGATGGTTATTTGTGCAAAGTTTACTGTCCTATTAACCCTTCCTGTAGTTTTCTTTGCATTATCATCTGATAATGTAGTTTTGTTTTTAAATTGTTATGTGATTTTGGTTATTTCTGTTGTTTTATTCCTGCTGTGTCTCATGTCTGTGGACTTTAGGCTCCTCCACAGATGCTTATGTTCTGCCTTGTTTATTGTTTAATAACTATAAATTAAAATTAACTCCTTTGACTTGACTTTTATTTTGAAAGTATCGCTCTTGTAATCACCTTGATGCTTATTTTTACATGCCTTTTGGTTGTTAAAAGACTCATAAAGGGAAGAGAAGACTAAAAGCACCAAAGAGCACTTTAGAAATTTCCAGATGTTCTGAACGTTTTTGTAGCTCCGAGAATTTGAGGCAACGACCTGATGGCTCGTTTCCGCTTGGAAAGTGGGTTATATCCGGTCTGATTATTAGCTCAGAAACTGAGGATTGTTTTGAGCATTTCAGATAAGATACAACCTGTAAGGTAAGTTCAGTCTAATGTGTTTACAGCTGGAGCGGTTCTGTCGCATATTGGCTCAAAAGTCAGCACAGACACGGCTAGCATTAGCTTAGCTCGGTTCTAATTTATGGAAATGTTGTGGAGCTTGGACCGAACATGACAAACGGCTCATTTACTGCTCTGTCTCTTAAGGTCGTTAAGAATGAAAGTCCAACTACTAAGGTCACATTTTACGCATATTATTACGTTTAAAGCGGGATTTCCACTCTGAATATTCAAGCCTTTAAAGTGGGGCAGCTGTTGGGTTAGCTGTTGTTAGCTTTGCTGCTGTTAGCTTAGCCCTGCAGCTTTTGGCTAATCAGTGGAAAAGCAGAGAAATAAATGCATCTTTTGTTGAAGCAACATGTTGGAAAATACATGAACATCACAAACTTTAACATGAGTAAGTTAATGTAGTCAGGGGTATATTTCACCTCCTTGCAAAATCTCTCAATGAGGTTGTTTTGTTTTTTTCTATCAAGTTTAATTTGATTTGGCAGAAAATTCATCATTGCACCATATTTTCTAACACTAACAAGGTTCTCTGGATCTTAGGAACAAAATAAAAGCCCACAAATCACACATCCTGATTGTTTTGTTTTTAGCAAACCCAAAAATCATACACGGTATGGCATATTTTTACTCTAGTAAAAATGTGAAGTAGCTGACTTAGAAATGACTCAAGAGTCAAAGTATTTGATAAAAAAGTATGAGTGCCTGGTTAGAATTAGAATCTAATTTAACATTTTAAAATTCAGTCATCAGACTGACAAAAATATAGTTATGTGCAAATTCTGGTATTTCACCATAAATCTCATTAAACTAATATTTACTGTATGTTAGAACAGGGTAAAGTGCTTCCAGTGACTAAATATCATATTTACTATATATATTTTTATCCTGCAGTTATTCAGCAGGTAGAAAATAACAAAGTTTGTATAAAAACAAGATGTCTCCTGCATTTTTCATTCAGTAAAGTTACTCTGTGGGTAGAAATCCAAGCCTTTTGCTCATTATATTAAAATACACGGTGCAGAAAAAGTATATTTTTCCCAAAAACAACTCCAGTAATTGTAAGTGGTTATAGGGAGACGCTGACATGGCAGAGAGGGAGGCAGGCATGGAGGAGGACGCAGGAAATCTGCCGGCCAGAGACGGCGATGATGGCGAGGACGAGGCTTTGTGGGGTGACGGGGGGCTTTTCAGGGTGGTGGACAGGGAGGACGAGGACGAACAGCCGGTGGACGAGGATGACGAGGAGGCGCCAGAGTCTTTTGAGCTGGACGCTCCAGCAGAGCGCAGCGGCCACATCGCAGTCGTTGATAGAAATATCATGTATGTGTGGGGCGGATACAAGGTAGGAGCTGAACCACATAATCACACTTTCAGTCATTATTTTATTTTTCTAAATCATATTTTCTTTTGGTTTTTTCAACAAGAATGGCCAAAATCATGGATTCTTTGATTTATACCTGCCCAGAAATGAGGTGTGGACCTACAACATGGAGTCAGGAGTTTGGTGAGGAAATAAACGGTTGTCTTCCTGTCGTCTTTTCTATAAAACACCATAAAAACGTCGCACATGTCTGCAGGTTGAAGCATGTCGCCGGAGGGAACCTGCACACGTCCATGTCCGGCAGCTGTGGGACGTGTCTGGATGGGGTCCTCTACCTGTTCGGGGGCCATCATGCCAGAGGAAACACTAACAGAGTAAGCTGAGAGAACAATGAATACATTCATCCCACAAGAAGTTAAAACCAGCTCAATAATTTCAATTTTCATGATTGTTTTTCTCGTTTCTTTCTACCTACAACTGGATGATGACAGTCTTCTGCTTTTTGGAGGATCGTTTTACTTGCAGAGATTTCAGTCTCCATTTTATTTGTTGTGTTCTCTACATTGTTAAATGTTTGTTAAAAATGAAAGTTATTAATCTTTAAGAAGGTCATCATGCCAGTGCTGTTATATTTCTCAAAGGGGTCTGAAAAGAATATTATCTTTTATGCAGTAACTTCTTGTTGTCATGAAAGGCTTTGCTGAGTGTTTCATGGCAGCACCGGTCCTGTTTCCTTCCAGATCTACCGTCTGCCTCTCAGGGCGCCCAGCCTGGTGTGGGAGGAAATGAGGGACCTGAAAGGACTTCCTCCGTCCTCCAAGGACAAGCTGGGATGCTGGGTCCACAAGAACAGGTGACGTCTTCCTTCCCCTGGCCGAATTGTGGGATTTGTTTCTCCTGGATGATGTGATTTTTTAAAAAATGTTTCTATTTGCAGACTGATTTTCTTCGGTGGGTACGGCTACACTCCGCAGGGATCTCATCGAGGGACTTTTGAGACCGATGAAACGTCTTCTCTTATGGTCTGTAAACTAATAACAGCATCAAATGTAGAAGATGAGATCCTCCTTTTCCAGAGGCTCTTTGAATGCTGACGTATTTATAATTATCTTTATTTTGTGCATCAGTGGGACAGTCCTGAACGAGGCTGGAACAACCACATCCATGTCCTGGACCTGGACACTTCAGCGTGGAGTCAACCCATCACTCAGGTGAAGACGCACAGCAGCGCCACCTTCTGGGCATTAATGCAAACTGGGGAGGAACCATGCATCTGCAGTGACAGCTGCAGGTCGAATAAATGCAAGAAATGAATAAAAAGGAAAAATAAAGAAAAAAAGAATCAAGAAAAAACTGAAAAAATAATAAAGTGTAAGTAAAAAAGAAAGAGAGAAAAAATGACATTTATTTATCTAGACCAGAGCATTGATGTTGACCCAGTTGGTCTGAATTTCATCTCCATCTGGGAGGTTCTGAATGGTGCTGGGAGGTTCTGGAAGGTTCTGAGTGGTTCTGGGTGGTTCTGAATGTTCCTGTCGGGGTGTTTCAGGGGAACACGCCGTCCCCCAGAGCAGCTCACGCGTGCGCCACGGTGGGAAACAGAGGTTACGTGTTCGGAGGGCGATTCAAGGTGAGCTCAGAGTCTGAATGTTTTATTACAGTTTTATTCTTTTAAGATCATAAATCCTTCATTTAAACCGTCTGAGCTGAAGGTTTTCTGGGAACTTTTGGTATTAATCATGTAAAAATAGTCCAATTGAGCTACACAAATTCAGACGTTAAATATATTTTGCTCCCAAAAACAATTTTATTGTTTTTCTCCAGAATTACAGACTGAATGATTTGTACTACATCAACCTGGACACATGGGAGTGGCATGAAATGTAAGTCTGTGATAACTAGTGATTATTTATCGATCAACCTGACTCGTTCTGACCCGTCTTGACTCGTTCTGACCCGTCTTGTTGCTGTTTCTGCAGGAGCGTTCCTCAGCATCCTGTGGGTCGGTCCTGGCATTCCTTCACTCCAGTTTCACCAGATCTCATCTTCCTGTTTGGAGGTTTCACCACAGAGAGAGAAACACTCAGTGAGTTTTGTGTTTGGATTCGCAGGCAGAGTGACCGTTTGAACAGGAAGTCATTCTGCAACGCTGTCCCTCTTCCAGGTGACGCGTGGCTGTACTGCGTCAGCAGGAACGACTGGAAGCCGTTCAAGCACAGCTACACGGAGAGCCCCAGGTAAGCATCCTGTCCTGGCGGCTGGACGCCGCCCCTCTGCTGAATGCCGCCCCTCTGCTGAACGCCTCTCTCTCTGTTTCTCTGTCTCTCTCTGTCTATCTCTCTCTCTGTCTCTCTCTCCCTGTCTCTCTCTCACTCTGTCTCTCTCTGTCTCTCGCTCCGTTGCAGGCTGTGGCACACGGCGTGCTCCGGGCCGGACGGCGAGGTGTTCGTGTTCGGAGGCTGCGCCAACAACCTGCTGTCTCATCAGAGAGCTGTAAGCTGAAAAACCTCCCGTTATGACCACTTCCTGTTTCAGACCGTCTCATCCTGTTTTCCTCTCCGACAGGCTCACAGCAACGAGCTGCTGATTTTTAACGTCCAGCCCAAATCGTTAGTCGGGTGAGTGTTTAAAGCTTCAGGAAGAGGCCCAATTTCAAAGCATTAAATTATGAAATAAAGATTTTTTGCAAACAGCCCATCAGAGCCAACAGGCGGGTCTTAGCGCTGTCAATCAACTTATAAACAAGCTGCAAAATGTGGTAATGGCAGAGAGTCAACTCATCCTTACAGGAAAACTGCTTTTGGTGGCCGTGCTAACTTGCATTAGCTTTTATAACAGGCTTTAATGATAATGATTGACAGCGCTAAGAGTTGCCTCCTGGCGCTGATTGGTTGTTTCTAGTTAACACTGGGAGACAGCAGAGATGCATTTTTTCTGTCTTATTGTATTCTGTAACACTTTCAACTAATATGGAAAAACAAGTTTTATAAAAGTTGTAGCAGGAAGTGGGCTTCTTTTAGCCGCTAACAGACCTATGCTCCTCAGGTTCTGTATGGAGGCGGTTCTGCAGCACCGGGAGCGGCTGTCCTCTCACTGGGACTGCCTGCCCAAACACCTGCTGCACAGCCTGAAGCAGAGGATGTCCCGGGTCAACACGCTGGGCTCCTAGAACCGGGCAGAACCCACCAGCCGGCTCTGCCCGGAGCGCTAACGTGTGAAAACATGAATTAAAATGACAAGAAGGAAGAAACAGTTTTCTATTTCTGATGATGCGCCCAGTTATTTACCTGCACAGCCAGGAGAACATCTGGAATCTCACCAGAACTTTAGGAAACGGGCTGACCACAAGACCAGCCAATCAGGATGGCCCTCAGAATCAACCCGCTTTTCTGCCCGGCAACAGCTGACCTCAGACTGCTGCAGCTGTCTGAGGTTTAAAGGTGAGGAAAGAAAAAACAAACTGTGGTTTAAAGTTCAGATGTGGTTCTGGTTCTGAGGTCAGCTTTTCATCCGACCAAAATGACCTAGAAAAAAATGTGGAGTAAGTCCAAATCCAACGAACTATTATGGCCAGACATTTATTTATTTTTTTAAGTATGACAGTAAAGTTATAAGATGCCAGAAGAAAGTCGTAAAATTGCTAGAAAAACTTTGATCCGGATCAGTTTGTGATTCTAGTTTTCAGTCGTTTCAAAGTTCAGCTACTGATAAAAGATCAACTTCAATTGTAAAACCGAAGTATAACTTTACTCGATATTCTTCATTTTAATTTATTTTTTGTATTGAAGTTATAAAATAAGTTTTATTTTCATGATTTTAACTCATTTTACTTTTTTTTTTCTCTTCTAACTTAAACCTTGTAACATTATGACTTTATTCTCATTGCTTGATTTTTTTTTTTTTTTTTGCCTGTAACTTAATTATATTGTGGCGCCGATACTTTGTTGTACTCCCCTGCAGACATAAGTCCATAATTTCTTCTGGAAGTACAAATGAATATTTTGCTTTCATCCGGGGGAGAAACTTTCAGACCCTTTAAATCCAAACCTGGGAGCTTTTTGGCTTCTTTTAGAAATTTCTGCTGACTCAGCAGACGTCCAGAAGAGGAAACCAGAAACGTCTCGTCTGGAAAAAACTGACGTGTGTAAATCTTTAAATGAACTTCATGCAAATGTAAAATAATGAAATCTAGACGTCTGTTTTTTGATGCGTTTGAACTGTAAAAGTCTGATCTGAGCAGAAAGGCTGGGATCTTTAGCAGCAGGTTTTCTGGTTTCAGGTCATTTTGCTTCAGTTCTCTGCAGATTTCTGCTCGGAGAGACGATCCGGTCAGGAACCAGAGAACCCAACTGCTGGTTCTGCTGGGTCTGTACAGCTGTAAATACAACGGCTCCTGTAGCTCCGATCCGGTTGCACTGAAACGCCGCTCTGTCAGTTTGGCTTCGTTTGCACAGAATTACCTCCTGTAATTGTAGGTGATGTAAGATTGTATCCAAATAAAATGGAAAAATACAAACACATGAAACCGCTTCACATTTTTTATTTTATTTCTTATATTTTTGTGAATGGAATCAATACAATCTTTACAATTAAAGCTCCTAATCCCTCAGTGGAGCGGCCAGGATCCAGAACCGTCAGGATCCAAAACCGCCAGAATGCAGAACCGCTTCATTTCCTCTTGGCGGCCAGCAGGTTTGGTGCCGACACCTTCACCTTCCCCGGCATGTTTCTGGACAGGTCAGCATCCTGAAACGAAACCGGACAGACTGAGGCCCGGAACCGGACAGACCGAGACCCGGACTAACAGAACTAAATATTTGTTAAATACATTGAAAAAATGAGAGGTTTTTCCTGCTTTTCACCTTGACGCTGCGGAACAGGTCCTTCTCCCGGGCCGAAGCGTCTTTAGCCTTTATGAAGCTGAGCACCGCCGTCCGGGCCGCTTGAAAACAGAAAACGTCACGTCAGCACTGAGCCTCCACCTGCAGGAATCATCCGGGATCTTTTCTACCTTTTCCTTTCTTCTGAGAGCCGGGAGTCAGCTTCACTTTGTGTCTGCGGAACAGAAGCACCGTCACACCGAGGCTCGGTCTCTGAGGACGGACAGTTTGGACACCTACTTGTAGCTGGACAGGGCGGTGTAGGGCGCGCAGACGGGGACGGCGAACAGCAGGACGTCGTCGGGGTGCGGCTGGCCGCTCAGAGACGTCAGCAGGTTTTCTGCTTCCTGTCGCCAGGAAACAGGAAGTCGAGAGGATGAAGCTCCGACTCACCTGACTCACTCCGTTTACTCACCTGAAGCAGGAAGCTCACCTCCGCTCCAGCGTTGTCCTGGTCCGCCTCTTCTTCCTGCAGGAAATGACATCACTGCTGAGTCAGGAAGTTACTAAAGCCACATTCTGTCAGAGCTGGGCGATGGATTGATCATCGATTAGTCCAATGTTTGGTCTTCAAAGATTTAATTTTAGGACAATGTTGTGCGTTTCCATAGTTTAGAGAGGCGGCCATCTTGTTTTGAGAAGCGTTTTACAGTTTGAGTTTATTTGGACTTTGAATTCAGATCAACAAAATATTAGAGCATTTTGTGTTGAAATGACCTTTAGCTCAGGTTGGTTTTTAATTATGAGATTAAAGTCACAATATTAAAAACAAATTAAATCACAATATTATGATTTTATTTGATCAATATTTGTTTACCAGATCAGTTTTCCAATTTCAACCCATCAAGTTATTATAAGCAGCAGAACTTCAAATCGATGCAGCTCAGCGGTTATGTTAGAACGTTTTTCACATTAGAAAATATTTTTCTCGTAAATTTAAGGCGTTTTGTTAAAACTGCATCTTTATTCTAATATTGTGACTTTTTCTGGTAATTAAACAGAAATGATCTGAATTATCCCTCATCCTGTTGTCCAGATCCCAGAAGTTAGAAACATTTTCTGCTATTTGTGTTTTCTACCTTCTCCTCCTGCTGCTCTCCGGCCGGCTTCTCCTCTTCCTCCCCTTCCTCTCCTCCTCCTCCTCCTCCTTCCTGCTGCGGTTTCTTCTCGTCGGCGGCCATGTTTCGAGGTTTCTGCTGCGGTTTCTGCTGCGGTTTCCTGCCCGGCTCCTCCTTCCCCTTCCCCTTCCTTCCTTTCTTCCCTCTGTCCTTCTCCTCCTTGGCTGCTCCTGCAGACTGCAGGCAGAATCGGGTCGGCCGTCAGAATCCGGGCCGCGTTGGAGCGGCGCCGGACGACGACCTTCCTCACCCCCAGCAGCTGCATCATCAGCTCTCGGTCCTCTTCGTCCTGGTCCTTGTACTTCTCCTTGATCTTCTTCAGCTTGTTCTGTCCCGGCAGCAGAAATATTTCATTTTCCACCCGAGCGGTTCTGGTTCTGGTTCTGTTGAGGCGTTTATCTCACCTTCTGGCCTCTCTTCAGCGGCTGCTGACCAGAACCTCCTCCACCTTTTGACCCCAGATCCACGGAGGAAACCTCCGACTTCTCCTCGCCGTCACAGTCTTCCTGTTTCTGCTTCTTCTTCTTCTCTTCTCTAAAAAAGGAGGCAAAATCCTCTGAGCGTCGTTAAATTAATCATCGTTAATAATGAATCGATTTGAGTTTTTCCACATCTTTTCTCATCACAAAAAAAATCAAAGTTTTATTGGGATTTTAGGCTGAAAATTACAAAGTGTCCAGTTTCTACTTCACTTGAAATCAGAAGAAACTAAGTTACAAGTAACTTTTCTGTGAAATACAGAAGTTTGTTTTAAGTAAATAATTCCTTACATTGTGAAAGAATGAGGATTTTTTTCCTTGTTATCAGTTTTAGGGCTTTATAGATTTAAAACGAGATCCTAATTTTTGCAGAAAAGTTGCTTATGAGTTAGTTTTGTCTTATTTCAAGTCTGAAACTGAAACCGGAGGAATTCTGGCCAGAACAGATTTAAGCTTTTTCATTTTATCTTGAATAGAAATGGAGCTCACCTCCTCTGCTTGGCGCTCATGTGTTTCTTCCCTTGTGAATCTGCCTCAACCTGAAGGAGCAAAACATCAGAAATGAAATCAAATAAGCTGAAGAAACACCTGGAGACAGGAAAAGGTGCAGATGTCTGCCTGAGGAGTTGTTTGGTTCTTGAAGCTGGGATTCTGAGCCATCCTAGAAACCAGGAAGAAAGATTTGTTGATTCCTCCACGTTCATGCAGGAACAAAGAAGAACTTCCTGTCTGGACGAGACGCTACCTGATTGGCTGTAGGTGGGAGAGGGAGATGGTGGTGTCTGGAAAGCTGAACTGGTCGCTCTTCGTCTCGTCTTCCACGCCGCTGTCTTCGTCGTTCTCGTCGTCCTCCATGGCGCCCGGCTGCGCTGCGGCGGCCATTTCTGCTTCTTCACGGTTCTCCGCCTCGTCTGCTGCTCTGCCCTGGTCTTCATTACTGCTGTCATCTCCTAGGAAACCAGGAGGAAACGAGTCCAGCAGCTTTTAAAATGTAATGATTTATGTCGCGTGTGAAACTTGGACCCTAACAGGTTTCAAAAAGTCATTTCCTCCTATTCTGCTTTTAGACATGAAATCGTCATTTAAAAACTAATTTTTGTATTTCCAGTTTATCTGTGTTTGATAATAAAACGAGTTTTGATCTGAAACATTCGTCCTGGTACCGATAAGCTCCTCCCCTTCCTCCAGCAGCTCAGCAGCTCTTGATGTCACTTCCTCCAGGTCTTCCTCCACGGTTTTCACCTTTCGCTCGCCGCGGTGCCGAAACACGCTCTGCTCATCCACCTGTCAGCCAATCAGAGAGCAGGTGGGAACCAGAAAGACCCCGGGTGACCTCAGGTGACCCTGGGTGACCTCAGGTGACCCCATGTGACCTCGGGTGACCCCATGTGACCTCAGGTGACCCCATGTGACCTCAGGTGACCCCATGTGACCTCGGGTGACCTCAGGTGACCTCAGGTGACCCGGCAGTGCTCACTTACCTTAAACAGGAAGCCAAAGCCCATGATCAAGTAGGACGGAGGAAGGAAGTTTTTCTTCCCTGAAGAGCAGAAATGGGAAAATAAATATTTGCAGGTAAATGTATTTGCTGCTCGTTGTAACAAACAGGAAGTGCTGGTATGATGGACAGGAAGTGATGAAGGCTCATACCTCTGATCATGAAGCTTCCAGTGGTCAGGTATTCCCCAGTGGGAGCCGTTTTAGACACCTGAAAACACACAGCCACGTTTTGTTTCCCCGCTCGTCTCTACGATGAAACTGAACTGGATTTCACTCAAAGAGCTTTTAGTTTGACAGATCCATCTTTATTTCTGTATGATGGTCACCATGGTGATTTAGCCTTTCAGCCACAGGCGAAAAACATATTTAATAATAAACTGTTTACTTGACAGGTGACAGTTAGCAACCTGCTAACAAGGTTTACAAACTGTGGAAAGTTGAGTGGAAGGAAAACCTTCAGTAACTGCAGCTGTTAAAGCATAAAGTTGTTATTTCCTGGGTGGGAATGGACTGACCTGATGGTGGTGGACCCACCAGGCGCTGGTGATAATCTTGGCGTCCCAGGCAGCGCTGTAGCAGACGGCCATGGTGGCGGCTTCGGTCAGAGTCCTGGGAGGAACGGCATCGCCTGAGGATGAGGAGGAGAGGCGATGAAGATGCTTCGGCTAAAAAACAAGAAGAAGAAAACTGAGCCGTGAGGAGACGGGCCGGCACAGAACCTGACGGGTTCTTGATGACGCAGCTGGTCGCTCCGTGCAGATCAGCGTGGACGTAGACGTCACCTGCAGGAGAAGAGGTGAGAGGTCAGAGCTACAGGTCAGAGGTCAGACAGATGTCCGGGCAGGCGGCCTCACCTGAGCGAAGGTAGCGCTTGACGATCATCTCGTTCTGCTGCTGGTCTCGCCCTGCGATCACCAGGTAGTTCTCAGAGCTGATGAACCACAGGAACTTTTCAAACCTGAGAAACGGAGGAAAGTTTATCGAATTTCTACAGAAAATTCATAATTTAACGTTTCACATCCCGAAACCTGCAGTTTTCTAACGACCAACAAAACATGGCGCAAAGCTGGAGGAGAAGGAAAGAAACATCTTTTATCCTTTTATTATGACTTTATTCAGATATTATGACTTTATCCTCATATTTTTACATTTCTATGCTGGTAATAAATGGTAATATTCGGGTTCATTTTCAGCCTCTCTTTATTGCTTATGAATAGAAAATAAATGCAAACGTCTCTTCTCTGTTTTTATTCATAAAAATGTGTCATTTTCCCTCTGCATCATGACTCTGCGCTGCGTGCCGTCTGTCCTCTGGAAGGTTAGGGGTTAGGGGTTAAGTTTAGGGTCGGCGACTCACCAGTAAACCTTTCGGGCTTTCTGGATGGTGGTGACTGTCTGCACTTCCTTCAGGGTCTGCTGCGTTTTCTTCTCTGCAGATTTCATGGCCTGACAGTTTAAAAGGACCGAAGGTCAGAATAAATAAGATTACAGATTGAATTATAGTTTTATTAGCAGCTTCCCCACCTTCCCTGCAGCTTC